ACTGTAAAAACCCTATTTCCCTAAGGTCTTTAGTTAAAGAGACAGAGCAAATATTCACAGTTGTGCTGTTATAGCACTGTCTCTTTCGTTCAGGTTACTTGCGGCAACAATGACATTATTTAGTTGCGATGTGACAGTGCGAGCGATAGGCGGTACTTGTGCTCTTGAAAAACGACATTTCTGAAGTAATAACGCGTTTGCCGGTAAGTTAACAACAATTTATTTTAATATATTTTCAGGAATAATGTGTTTGTATAAATGTCTCGTTAATGCAGATAGTATTTAAATAAATCAGTACAGGCTTATTTCATGTTAAGACGATGTTGCTGAAAAAATTAATACCCATTGGAGTATTATTACTAATTATGACGTTGTTGTTAATAAAGAAAACGATAATTGAATATTACAATAAAAAATATCTATACTTATGTCATTACACTTAAAAATAATTGCGTTATTTATTGTAAAATATTACAACATTTTGTAATAAAACGTTTAAGTCAATAATTCGAGTCACGTTTTCTTATATATCGCACCTTTAATAATAAACTGAATTAATTCAAAATTTACGTTTTTCGAGTTTTCAACAAATACCAAATCAACTTCATCAGTAGAACACGAACAAGCCAACAGCCGACTCGATACCATGAAAATGACAGAAATAAGAGATCGTCGTTCTCTTTTTGACGAACTCGCACGTACATGTCGGTACCGGTAAAGTGAGCGAGTTCAGTAATGAGTCGGCGCTGTGCCATTCAAAACCTCAACGTTTCATAAAAAAAGGGGAATAAACCAAAATAATTTGTTATTTTAGTATCAGGTAATTATTTAATTTTTATTTTATTTTATTTAAAAACTGCATCAATTTAAATTTATTTCATTTTATTAGAAAAGTGAATGTATTTTTATAGAAAACATTGTGACTTAATTCAGTTTTGTATAAATTATATGGTATCAATTATCGCGTCATTTTGAATTAATGCAGTTCAGTATTAAAATATTAAAACAAAACTTTAATAATTAAGTTTTGTTTCAGTATTGTAGTATAAATTTACAGAAAATTAGTTACTTTAATATATATTTCTGTTTAATATTAAATATATTAGATACAAGTTACGTATTGTTCGTAGTTATTTCACTGTTTTAGTAAAATTATGAATGGAATATCGGCTTTCAAGAATTATTTTGGTTTTAGAATGTCGTCTTCGCGAGCTCGAAAGATTTTAGAATTGATTGTAGAAAACACCACAAAAAATAATAAAAATACTCGAGACTGTAATTTAATTGAAAAATACAACAATCAAAGTAGTATTAATGATTCCGATCATGAGGTTAGTAATTTTATTATTAAGTAGAATTGCATTTATTTCATTTTTTTTATATTAATTGCTTTGTTGACTTTTTGGGTTAAGTAAGTAGAAATAAATTTAAACAAACAACTTAACTACATTAATTTAATAATCCAACGAATGCCATTTAACACCTCATAATTTAATAATTTTAGAAATCACACCTTGAAAACAGTCAACCTGATAAAAAACTGGTCCCTTATTATGATAGTGACATAACTATATCTGATAAGGAATACAATTCGATCATTTCTCGACCTACTTCTTCATCAAGTTGTTCATCTTCAACGTCATCTGCGAGCTCCACTTCCTCATCTAGCTCATCATCATTCGACTCATCTTCATCAAGTTCGACTAATCCTCATTCACCTGCTACTAGACCTCATGTTATTATTGATGAAACAGATTATGATGACGTTGTAGAAAACATACCTCCAGATCAACAGTCATATAGACGAAAGGTGAGTTATATTTTATAGCCGTTAGGGCTCTGTAAAAGAAAAACAGTATTTGCCGTTCTTCATAATAATGAATTTCAATTTATATCTTTCAGCAAGTAATAAGTAATCGGACTAATTTACATGGGGCTCAAAATTATTACACGTCTCCTCTATATACGTATGAAAGTGACATTGACTTGAGTGATACTGATCCCACATACGTGAATATCGAACTTACAAAAAAAAGGAACTATTTTTTTTGCCAATCGAACTCTTCTTCTACCTGTTCTTCAGATTCAAAACTGGCTACAAGATCTACCCTGAAAACAGGCCACAAACGCACCCAAATTCCAACTCAATGGAAACAGAACAAACTTAAACGTATTTTATTAAATAAGGGAAAATCGTACGTATCGCAGTCTAAAACTAAAAAACGTGTATCAGCTCGGTATCTAAAGGAACCTTGCACGGATAAATGTACCAAAACTATAAATTTAGAACAGAGATACAAATTATTTCGGATTTTTTGGGATTTGGGTGATTCAATAAAGCAAAGAGCGTATATAAATGCGAGTATGGTTGATGTTCAACCTAGATACAAATATACGAATGCTGAAAGACCAAGGCATAACAACAAAGCCTTTTATTTTTAAGTAGACGGCGCAATGATCCGAGTTTGTAAAACTTTTTATAAGGCAACTTTGGATATCACAGATCGTATGATATTTACCGTGCAAAACAAAATAAATCAAAATGATTTTTCATTTAACGATTTAAGAGGAAAACATACAAACCACAAAAAAATTGATTCCGAAATACGCAGTGTTATCGTAAAGCACATTAATTCTATCCCTAAGGTTGAATCACATTACTTGCGAGCTTCTACAACGAAAGAATACATAGAAGGTAACAGAACTATTAAATATTTATACACCGATTTTAAGGAATAACAAGAAAAACAGAATAAACAAGCAGGTACATACTTAACTTATTTTAAAATATTTACAAATGAATTTAATCTGTCCTTTTAGTAACCCAAAAAGGATCAATGTGATCTCTGTAATTCTTATCGTAATTCAAATGAAAATCAAAAAAAAGAATTTCGAAGAGAAATATTTAAAACATTTAGAAGAGAAGGATTATTGTAGAGCTGAGAAACTTAACGATCGTAAAAAAGTAGACAAAAATACGAGAGTAGTTGTATACGATTTAGAGGCAGTATTGCAGTGCCCCAAAGGTAATGGTTCCTCCTTTTACTACAATTCAAAACTTAACTGTTACAATTTTACTGTAACCGAATTAATGCCACATGAATGTAAAGTTGCCTACAAAAATGTGCATTGCTATTTTTGGACAGAAAGTGACGCTAAACGTAGTGCGGTTGAAATCGGATCATGTGTATGGGCATATCTGAAAACTATAAACGATGAAGACAGTGATTCGAAGGAAGTAATTTTCTATTCGGACAATTGCTGTGGACAAAACAAAAATAAATATATAACATCTCTGTATCTATATGCTGTACAAACATTAAATATTACGAGTATAACACATAAATTTCTGATACGAGGTCACACGTAAAATGAAGCTGATAGTGTTCATAGCCTCATTGAGAAAGAAATAAATAAAAACTTAAAATCAGGCCCCATATATACACCCGACCAGTACATTGCTTTAATTAAGAATGCCAAAAAGACTCAACCTCCATTAATTGTGCACGAAATGAATTATCAATCATTTTATGATATGAAAACATTACAAGAAGAATGGGGATATAATTATACAATAAATACGGATATACAGAACGTTAATTGGAATTAAATAAAAGTCTTAAAAACTACTGAAGAAAACCCTACCTTATTTTTCTACAAAACATAATACAAGGATAAAAACTACAAGGAGGTTGATGTAAGAAACAAAAGAAAGAAAATGAAGGTAACAACAGAAATAGAACTTCAAGAAGCATACTTTAATAAACATGAAATAAGTGAAAATAAGAAAAAAGACTTACGGGAACTGATTTCGAAGGCATTAATTCCTTCTTTTTACACGGCTTTTTATAATAACATACTTTAGGTAAATTATTTCTAACCTTAAGTTTTTAAACCAGATCTCATTTTATAGTGTGATAATAAAACCAAAACAGTTATGTTTAATGACAAGAAGTCTGTAAGATTTTAAGTTAATATTTAATTTTTGTTAATTACTTTTCTATTTTTAGGAATTGTTGTGAAGTTATTATTTAATTATTATACTATTTTTGTTAATTAATTTTAAAAATTTTGGAAGATTTTAGAAAGACTTTTAGAGATTTAAGAATAATAAGTTTTCAAAAGATTTAAAAAACAATTTAGTTTTATTATCCTTGGATTACTGGTTAGTAGTAGCTATTTAATTAAGTACAGTTTTAAATCTATTTCGAAATACTAAAAAAAGAGAATGTATGTGTCGGGTTAGGTCCAGACATTAGAAGTAAAACTCGTGTACACAAATGCACAAAATTTATTACTATAATCAAATAATCCAAATATCTTAAATCGCAATAAGGATAGTAATCGGGCAGTACTGACTGTCGAGAGACAGTGGTCCGTGCACCGGGACGCAATCGTTCGGAATGCGTGTCGTCTCAACAGCGCAGCTCGTTATAAAGGCGGTCGCTTGGGGAGGGGAAACGTCACAATATTTTACCAGTTTGAATCCAAGTCTTTTGAGCCAAATAATCGATGTAAAATCGATTAAGTAATATTTCAAATGGTGCGTCCGGTGCACGTTCCACTAGCGCCATCTAGTCGCCGTCTCTCGCAGCCTGACTACAGTATGGCTGCCGTCACGGCCATTCTGATAAATCACTCGTCCTCGAGTGAATTCCTACAAGAATTTTAATTCACATCATCATCGTTTCATTAACAATCACTGGTCTAGGTATTTCTTTGACATAGAAAATCCCTTCAGTTTGAAGATACTGGTCTGAATCGACACCCACTAAAGTAGGAGAGATTCCTGCAGTGCAAAGTAGATCATATCCCATAATTCACACATGCTGGTCTAAATCGTCACCCACTAAAGTAGGTGAGATTTCCGCAGCGCAGAATAGATCATACCCCACAATTCAAACATGCTGGTCTAAATCGTCACCCACTAAAGTAGGTGAAATTCCCGCAGCGCATCACTCATCATCTTCCACAAAAGTAGAAGAGACTACACAAATTGATCATTCCAAAGATTCTATTACAGCTTCGGAATCATCCACGCTTAATGTACGAGAACTACAAGAAAAAGTTTCTTCAGAGTCATTTGCGGTTAAGGTGCGAGAGCTTACCGAAAGTGTCTCTGAATCATCTACAGACAATATAGGGGAGTTTACAGTTACAGTTTCCTCAGAGGTCGTATTACTATTTCCAGGCACAACAGATATATTGAATTCATCATCTGCCATCACGGTTCGTTCATCAGTACTATCACTTTCATCACTATACTCATAAATTTCTAGATAGCCTTCTTGCCCTTTAGGTACTCCCCTTAAATTTTCATGAGCAAATTTATAAATTCTGTTAGAACCGTTAATATGTTTAAGTTCATAACGGTCATTATCTAATACAGTGATTATTTTATAAGGTCCCTTAAACTTCTTGTCTAACTTAGATTGATGCCTTTCTTCGCTTTTTACAAAAATAAATTCACCAACTGCAAAAGGTTTAATCCGAGCTTTACCCTTGTTAAACCGTAAAGTGTCAGCGTTAGCTACTCTTTGAATATTTTCTGATGCAGATGAACGAGCCGCTTTGACATTAATTAGAGTTGGTTCAGAAGAACTAGGAGTTATTTTAGCTAGATTAAGCGAGGAACCTTGAATACCAAACATTAGTTCCATGGGTGTAAACCCTGTGGTCCTGGAACGTGTACTATTAAGAGCAAGCTGAATCTCGCCTAATTCGTCCTTCCAAGTATTATTAGAATTACTTTCTATAATAGTAAGAATATTCTTTAAAGTTCGCATGACCCTCTCGACCTGCCCGTTAGCTCTACTAGAACCAGTTGCTATTAAATGGAGCTCTATTTTATTATCATTGCAAAAGTTTTTGAATTCACTGCAGTCATAACAACGTCCTCTATCTGCGATAATGCGCTTAGGAGCACCAAATAAATTAACAGCATTTTTAATTGCTCTAACAGCGTGTGAAGAACTTAAAGCCGGAGCATATTCAAGCAATACAAACTTTGTAAAGGCATCTATTAAAACTGAGCAAAATTCTTTTCTATCACTTTTTCCTGAAAGTTTTCCTGTTAAATCTAAATGAACTGTGTGCCAAGGAACTGGATTTTTAGGAATGGAGTGCAACTGCATTTGCTGGGCACCTGAAGGACCTTTAGAAGTTTTGCATACTACACAACAGTTAATGAACTTTTTTACGAATTTAGCCATATCAGGAAACCAATAAAACTCGTAAAGTTTGTCTAAAGTTTTGTCAAAACCTAAATGTTTTATTTCATTATGAACATGGCTAATGAGGGACCAAATCAAAGAACGGGGCACAATAGGTAACCAACTAGAAACTACTCTACGCTCTATCTTTCTATACAATATACCCTGTCTTAAATCGTACGTATGTGATATCTCCTCAGGTAATTGATTATTACGTATTTTCGATATTATTTCCGAAAGTTCTGAATCGCGTTGTTGTTCTACTTTTAGCCAACCTATATCTAACTCAAGAAAATTTACTTTACGGGGTTTCGAGTGGGAAGCTTTAAGGGAGTTACAATCAGTAAATACAGTGAATTTTCGTCCATGCAAATAATGACGAAAATTTTCGATTGCTTTTACTACGGCGAGGGTTATAACTCATAAGAGTGACAACGCGTCTCTGAATCTATAGTCTTTCTACTATAATATGCTACCACATGAGGGGCATCATTATGTTTTTGGATAAGTATTGCACCATATCCTTCACTACTTGCATCGGTATGGAGTTCAATGGGCAAGATAGGATCAAAAACTTTTAAAACTGGTTCGGATGTTAAGATATGGATTATCCTTTTATGTACTTGGTCATGCTCTGGGGTCCATCTAATATTACCCTTTCCTTTTGTTAGGGGATACAAAGGGCGAATTATTTGGGAAAAGTTAGGAACAAACTGTCTAAAATACGTAGCTAGCCCTATGAGCTGCCTAACTTGGGTAACAGTTTTTGGAGTTGGGACATCAACTAAGGCTTGTATTTTTTTTGGATTTGGTCTAATTTCCCCAGCTGAGACTATATACCCAAGGTACTCAGTTTGGATTTTCAGAAACGAGCATTTCTTTAAATTGAACGAGAATCCTGCATTGCACAGTGTTTTAAGTAATTTGTCTAATCGATTAAGCCCCTCATCAATATCTTTTGAAATTAAAAGTATGTCATCCATAAAAACTAAAATCTTTTCGTCGTTCATAGGCTTCAGAGCAGTATTAATAGCCTTTTGAAAAATGGAAGGGGCATTGCGCAACCCAAAAGGCATAGCCAAATATTCAAACTGTCCTTTTGGGGTAACAAATGCAGTTTTTTGTATGGAATCATCATGAACAGGTAACTGATGAAACCCAGAAGCCATATCAATACTGCTAAAATAATGAGCACCATGAAGTTTATCAATTTGTTCACCAATCAAAGGTAGAGGATAATGATTCGGTTGAGTATTACTATTCAACTCCCTATAGTCAACACACATGCGTGAACTGCCGTCCTTCTTCTCTACAAGAATGATAGGGCTAGCAAATGGGGATGAACTCTCTCTAATAATATTTGCCGTTATTAATTGCTTAATTTTTTCATCCACTATGTCAGATTCTTGAGGAGATAATCTATACGGTCTCCTATGCACTATTTTATGAGGATCAATTAAATCGATTTTCAACTGTCCCGTTTTAATTCTAGTTGTAGGAAAATGTTCAATGAAATTGTCCGTGTATTGAGTTAATATGTTAAAAAGCTTTACTCTATCAGTTCCTGTCAGGTCAGTATTAATTGAATCAATGTCAAATATAGGTTTGGTTTTGGTACACATATTAGATACCTTACACCGCTTGAATATTAAACCGGTCTCCGAAATCTCAACAAGAACATCGCGCTCAAGTATATCTCTACCTAATAAAATAGCGTCGCGCAGACAATCATCTGGAACTACATAAAGCGTGACGCTAATTTCAATACTTTGGATTTTTATGTCACAATTAATTTGCTCCGTGCTACTAACGATACTGTTTCCAATACCAGTCATGTTGATAAGGTCGTGCGATCTTTGTCCATTAACAAGGGGTGAAATATTTTTCCTAATTAAACTACACTCCGAACCAGAATCAAAAATAAAAGGAAATGTCATACCACTACAATCCAGAGCACCTCTAACAATCTTCGAGCACACCTTGACTTCCTTGCTTCCGGTAGCGGCTTGTTCCTTCTTCGTATAGTCATCCCTCTTGGGGCAGGTAGAGACGATGTGGCTGTTGGTAACACAACATCTTAGTTTAATTATGTTGGCTGCATTGTGTATCCTTTAGCTGCCAACGACAATATACCAATGTAACATTCACTTGCGTTCCATCCGATCTACAATAAACAAGCATAATTTCTACTCGTGGTTTCCTTTAAGGTAGATGACCAGCAAAATACCTATATACAGTCCGCTTCAAAACATGGTCCTATCTCACCGCTAGTATCGCGAGTGTTACCGTGACAGTTCTAAATTTCGACGTGTCGAGAGTATTTTGTTTCGACCAATTTTCAAGAAGCAGCCATTTTGAACGACATTTCGGCGAAGAACTTGTCTCAACAAAAAGGAATTTCAGTTTGGATTGGGTCAAAGAGGAAGAGGATAAAAACCGAGATTTGCAGTAAACTACGCAATCACGTGTTCAATAATTTTATCCACCTTGCGCAAGACAACTTTTTCGTAAAACGAAAGACAAAGGGAATTTGCAGTGGAGCAATCAACGCATTCCGCACGTATATTTTATCTCAGCTTGTTGTTTTTTCAGCTTTTCAGGTAAAAATATATCATTTCCATAATCGGTTGCACGTATTTCCAAAGCAAGGTTTTTTTTTTATTTTGTTCACCGGGCGGATGACGCATGTAGCACAGCACCGTGATTGGACGAGCATCGCACTATAGCCAACATAACGCACGCAAATTTCCTGTACGCTGCGCTGGCGCGGCTCGGACCACGGACGCCATCTTGCCACACCGCCGAGTGCCGACGACAAATTGAAGCGAAAGTTTGTAAACTGTGCTCTGCATTATATTGTTGCACTTAATATTAAGTGTGTGTATAATTTCAGCGTAATATAAGTTTAAATCTTGTAAAAATGACACTAGAAGAAAAGGAAGGCGACGCCATGCAGTCGCTCATAAGGAAACGTGGCGCTTTAAAAGGTTCGCTAACTAAATTTGCTTCTTCATTCAGTGATCCAACAGTGTATTTAGCTTATACAAAACAAACATTAGTATTAAAACAGGAACGCTTAAAATCCACCTTCGATAAATATGAAAATTATAATTTAGACATTTGTGGTTTAGACGCTAGTAAATCCGACATAGACTTTGATTCTACAGAAAATACATACATAAATACGCGTTCACTAATCATAGAATTAATCGAAAAATTAGATAAACAAGAAATTGAATGTGGAAATAAGCCCTCCTGTCAAAATATACAAACTAAGTTACCTCATATAACCATACCTAATTTTGATGGTAAATATTCAGATTTCAAGGCTTTTATTGGACTATTTGATAGCTTAATACATAATAGTACCAGACTTGATAATGTACAAAGATTCTTTTATTTAAGGAGTTATTTACAGGGAGAACCCTTAGATTTAATTAAAAATTTAACCATTACAAGTGAAAATTACATGGAAGCTAGGTCTATTCTACATGATAGATATGACAATGAATATAAAATCACAAATGAGTTAATCAGTTCACTATTAGATATAAATCCCATACCAAGGTCAACGGCACATAATATTAGACACTTTTTGTCAATTGTTAAGCAACAACTAGCTGCTCTTAGAAACTTAAATATGCCTGTTGATCAGTGGGATGCTATTCTGTTATGCATACTCACAAGGAAGCTGGACACCTATTGCAATAGGGAATTTCAATTAATTAGGGAAAAGGAAACAAAGGTAGCACATTTGTTGGATTTTCTAGATAGGCGAGCCCAAGCATTGGAGAATGTGGAGAAACCAGTGGCGGATCGTCCAAGGGTAGCTAATATATTGATAAAAGATAGGAAGGAAAAACCTCAAGCTTCAACATCCACTTCATTTCAACCTGCCTGCTTAATATGTAAGTCTGCTCACAAGCTTTTTTTATGTGCACAATTTAAATCAAAAAATGCATCAGAACGGCTTCAATTTACAGAAGAGCATGGTTTGTGTAAGGTGTGCCTCAATAAACATAATAATAAATGTAGGTTTCACTTTAAGTGTGACATTTGCAAGCAAGGTCACAACACACTACTTCATGTTGATAAGGCACAATCACCAGTAATTTTGGCTTCTCAAGCAAGCAATCAGGTATTATTACCTACGGCTAGAATAAAGCTTATTGCTAAGAATGGGACTGAGGTGCATGTGAAGGCATTACTTGACAGTGGTTCTCAAGCGTCTTTCATTACAACTGAACTTGCACGCCTACTTGACTTACAGCCTAAATCAATTAACACACCTTTAACTGGCATAGGTAATAGCAAAGCTAAGCTATCAAAATGTGTTAACATAGACATCCACTCTTTAATCCAGGATTATAAAATAAATGTGAATTGCTATCTTTTGGATTCTATCACTACTAAACTGCCTCAGATTAAATTCAGTGGGGAGGGTCTGCTGCTTCCCGCAAACATAACACTAGCTGACAACACTTTTAATGAACCTAGTACAATACATATTCTATTAGGAGCTGACATCTTCTTCCAGGTGCTACTACCGACTGAGCCAAATAGGTTCCAGTCCAACTCCGGGAAAGATGTAAGAGAAAATGTTAAGTCTACAGTACCTGTGTTAAATACTGTCTTCGGTCATATTGTTGCTGGCACCGTACCTACCCACACTGCTCATTCACACATACCGGTAACACTTTTTTGTAAATCCCAAGATTACCTTCATACATTGAATGAAAATTTTGAAACCTTTTTTGAAGCAGAAAAGGTCCCTGAGTATTTTCCAGAAAAACTTAGTGAACATGATACTTGTGAAAAACTTTTCTGTGAAACTGTCAAATTAGATACAAAAAGTAAGAAATTTCAAGTAGCCTTGCCCTTAAGGCTGCCATTAGATTCTATCAGAGAGACCCTTGGAGACTCATTGTATTTAGCTTCAAGGAGATTTCACAACTTAGAAGTTAGATTCAAAAAAGATCCTCTTTTGCATAGTCTTTATAAGGAATTTATTCACGAATATATTGAAAAAGGTCATGGAACTATAATAGACATAAATCAATATGACCTCAAAAAAGATCCTGTGTTCTTTTTGCCACATCATCCTGTCTTAAAACTTGATAGAAAGACTACTAAATGCAGAGTTGTCTTTGATGGATCTATGAAGACTACAAATAAGATTTCACTAAATGATTTATTGCATAATGGCCCTGTTACTCAAAAGGAACTTATAGACATTTTGTTGTTGTTTAGAGTAGATGAATATATTTTTGTGACTGATATCAGAAGTATGTTCAGATGTGTAGAATTAGATCCAAAGTATAGGCCCTTGCAAAACATTCTATGGCGGGACAGCCCAGAACAAGGTTTGCAATATGTTCAGTTGAATACAGTTACTTATGGCATGAAGTCTTCTTCTTACTTAGCCACAAGGTGTTTAAAGGAACTAGTAAGCCTGTATGGAGAAAAATTCCCTCTGGCTGCTTTTATCATAAATAACTGTACATATATAGATGACGCCATTTGTTCCCAAGGTTCTCCAGAGCTTTTGATAAAGGCAAAGGAGCAACTCTGTAGTCTTTTAGAATTAGGGGGTTTTCAGTTACATAAATGGGTTTCTAATCTGCCTGAATTATTACATGATATTCCTAAATCAAGACAACATTTTGATGACATTGATTTACAGAAAAGTAACTTATCCTTTAAAACCTTAGGTATAAATTTTAATGTTAAAACCGATTCATTTATAATTTCAAGTCCCAAACCAATCGAAGACTTTCCAGTTACGAAGCGCGGCATTTTAAGCTATATCAGTAAATTCTATGATCCGCTAGGTTTGGTAGGTCCAGTCATAGTATGCGCTAAGGTAATTATGCAGCAGCTATGGCTAGCTAAGATTGATTGGGACAGTACCCCCAATGATAAGATTTCGCACTCATGGCGAGAGTTTTATAATAGTTTACTTAACATGAGACCAATAAATGTGCCACGATACACAAATTTACACAACACAAATTTGATACAGATCATAGGTTATGCAGATGCATCAAAAAATACTGCCTATGGTTGCTGTGTTTATTTACGAGTTGTCAATGAAACTGGTAGTATAAAAGTTTCTTTACTCTGCTCAAAAAGTCGCATAAATCCAATTAAACAAGACATGACTGTTCCACGCCTAGAGCTCAATGCTGCAGTATTGTTGGCTAAATTAGTCAATCGAGTCCATGATACATTATCACTAAAACTGAAGATCGATGAAGTTATTTTGCACTCTGATTCTCAAATTGCTTTAGCTTGGATCAAAACGCCATTGATAAAGCTCAGTGCATATGTAGCAAATAGAGTAAAAATACTTTTAGAGCTATCTCATAAATTCACATGGGCTTACATAGGTACTAGCGAGAACCCTGCCGACTGTCTTAGCAGAGGTGTCTTACCTCATGAGTTAGAACAACATCCATTATGGTGGAAGGGTCCAAAGTTGTTGCATACATGTAAGTATGAGCCGGAGCTAAATTTAGCTATTCCAAGCCGCTTACCTGAAACCAAAGAGGCCTCCACATCCTTCAATGCTATGGTTTGTTCTCTTTCTACTGATGAGCAGAATCTAACTTTAGAATTTCTAGATAATTATTCTAATATTAATAAGATGCAAGGGGTCTTAGCTTACGTATTACGCTTTGTTCAAAATGTAAGGTCAAAAAATAATAAAACTAAACTTTGTTATTTGACAAGTCAAGAATTAAGTAACTCATTGTTGTTAATTGTTAAACATGAGCAGCTAAAACATTACAAAGATGAATTTAATGCCTTAAGATCTAAGAATGTAATTGTTAAAGGTAATTTAAAGCCTTTGAGTCCATTTGTTGATGGCAATGGTCTTCTGCGAGTAGGAGGCAGGTTACATAATGCTTCTATTTCCTATTCACAGAAACATCCAATACTCTTACCTCGAGAGTCACGGATAACAGAGTTAATAATTGAAAATGAACATGTTAAAAATCTACATGCTGGACCTAGACTAGTATTGTCATCGATTAACCAAAGGTTTTGGATTGTACAAGGATTGAGACAGGTAAAAAATGTTTTACATAAATGCATTACTTGCTTTAGATTAAAGGCAGAATCAGCCAAACAACTGATGGGCAGTTTACCTGCAGACAGAGTAAATATCTGTCGCCCTTTTCAAAAAATAGGCATGGACTTTGCAGGTCCTATTTCAGTTAAGGTAGCTAGAATCAGAAAGCCAATCATTACAAAGGGTTATGTTTGCCTCTTTGTGTGTTTTGTGACAAGGGCTATACACCTTGAGTTAGCCTCAGATCTAAAAACTGAAACCTTTCTTGCTTGTCTCAAAAGGTTTGTTTCTCGTAGAGGACTACCTACTGATATTTATTCAGATAACGCATCAACATTTAAATGTGCTAAAACACAGCTTGATGAGCTGTATAAATTACAAAATTGTCAAATGCATCAGAAACAAGTATATGACTTTGCTGCACAGAAGGGTATTAACTTTCATTTTTTGCCTTGTTATTCTCCAACTTTTGCCGGACTCGCAGAAGCGGGAGTCAAGAGTATGAAATATCATTTAAAGAGAGTCATGCAAACTTCCTCACTTACATATGAAGAACTTAATACACTTTTGTGTCAAATAGAGGCTGTATTAAACAGCAGACCTCTCATGCCATTGTCTGCAGATGTAAATGATTTTTCATGTATCACCCCTGGACATTTTCTCATAGGATCACCTCTAAATTCATATCCTGAACAAGAAAATGCATCTATTTCCAGATTAAAGTCTTGGAACGTTTGTAACAATCTTAAACATTCATTTTGGAAGCAATGGAGAAAACAATATCTTAATATATTACAATCTCGCCCTAAGTGGACCGATGTTCATCCTAACATTAAGATAGGCTCTCTTGTTATATTAAAGGATGATAATTTAGCCCCTTTGTATTGGCCTATGGCCAGAGTTACGCAAGTCTTTCCAGGGACTACTGATAACAGGGTTAGAGTAGTAGAAGTCATGACCTCTAATGGTAAAACTCATAAACGGTCTATCACCAAGGTATGTTTGCTGCCTGTAGACAATGATAGTGTTTAAATGTCAGCAAATACTTGTTTTACAGTTACTTAGACAATAAGGTGCATACTCAATTAAAATGAGTAAATTGTTAAATTAAATTAAATTTAATTTTTTATAATACATAGGTATTGTTACCAATGTATAATACATAGGTACTACTTAACATTTGTTATTTGAAGTTGCTTGGTACTTGTTTTTTCCTGGTGGCAAGACTGACTGTGTCATGTATGTTATCTACTTATATTGTTTTGTAGATGTATAAGTAAGCGTAAACATTTTTTTTTAAAAACTATAGTTTAGTTCATTCACTTATAAAGTTAAAACTTTTAATTTAAGGTCGCAAGTGTAAGGGCAAAATGTTCTCTTGAACATAAATTAATATGTAACACATCAAGTGTGTGGTATTTATGAACTATTTATATACAGATTGTTACAAGTTTAGCCTTTCAATTTGAGTTTAGTGGCTGTGTAGCTGTAATAATATTTTTATGTTATCCTTTTTAAACTGTCAAGCATTATGTTTGTCTAAGCATTGTACTTGTTTGTTTTAAGTACTTGTGTATCTTCCTAGGGTTGTCAAAACTTTATTATAGGCTTATTATTAAACCATTTGTCGCCCTGGCCAATATGTTGGTAACACAACATCTTAGTTTAATTATGTTGGCTGCATTGTGTATCCTTTAGCTGCCAACGACAATATACCAATGTAACATTCACTTGCGTTCCATCCGATCTACAATAAACAAGCATAATTTCTACTCGTGGTTTCCTTTAAGGTAGATGACCAGCAAAATACCTATATACAGTCCGCTTCAAAACAGTGGCCCGGTTCCCCGCAGACGTAGCATGTGACTTGATGCCTCTGGTTGACGCGTTTATCCGTAATCATTGATCCATTTGGTTTATTTCGTTCACGACAATCAGCTGCTCGATGCCCAGGCTTGTCACATACGTGGCAATTGCCACGAAAGGGAAACGTAGCACGAGAGCGTTTGACATCGGAATCGTTTGGCTCGGAAAATTCCGATTTTCTTTTCAAGGAGATACCTCGTAGTACTCGAAATAGCTGGGATTTGTCATTTACCACAGTGGAGTTTAATTCACGACGTATTTGAACATCACACTGTGATAAAACGGAAACGGCAAAGCCCGTCACAACCTTTTCAGGTAAATTCGTGTCTGGGATATTTTCGATCAGTTGCCAAAGACGTAAACATGACTGAGCGGGGGTTTCATTAGCAGTTATTTGAAATTTGAGGATACTGTCAAAGTGATCCTGAATAAGCATAGGACGAGAGAACTGAGCTTTCAAAGTCTCTTGAATATCTTCCCATCGATATTGACTGGGAGGTATTTTGGTCAATAATGTAGCTGCGCGGCCTCGCAGACCATGGGTCAGCGTTATGATCAGATCCAGACCTTTAAGATTTTTGCCCTTAATTATGGCGTCCGTCAATCTGCACCAGCCCTCTATATCTGAATTTAGGTCGTCGGGGTCAAATGGTACCAAAACTGTGAAAGGGTGTGACGGTGCATTGGACCGGGGTAGCAGGGCATCAGTTAATTTTGAAAGAATCGTTTCTAAACTATGCGAGGGTAGCGAACTATTCTCCTGCATATTTTGTGCTGACGAAGTGCCAGAGGTGGGCGGGCAATCGTATCCCACTTCTGATGTCGGGTTAGGTCCAGACATTAGAAGTAAAACTCGTGTACACAAATGCACAAAATTTATTACTATAATCAAATAATCCAAATATCTTAAATCGCAATAAGGATAGTAATCGGGCAGTACTGACTGTCGAGAGACAGTGGTCCGTGCACCGGGACGCAATCGTTCGGAATGCGTGTCGTCTCAACAGCGCAGCTCGTTATAAAGGCGGTCGCTTGGGGAGGGGAAACGTCACAATATTTTACCAGTTTGAATCCAAGTCTTTTGAGCCAAATAATCGATGTAAAATCGATTAAGTAATATTTCAAATGGTGCGTCCGGTGCACGTTCCACTAGCGCCATCTAGTCGCCGTCTCTCGCAGCCTGACTACAGTATGGCTGCCGTCATATGCTTGTACATAATTTAATAACACCCACTTAACAATAATCAAGTCAAGCTACAAATATTGACAATACGCAATCCCAGCACGTCCGTCTAGCTCTGGTGTCGCCGCAAGAGAGCCCTGATCGCGTTCGCACGACCCACCTCTTCAATCCTTCCCTCACTCCAAGCGGCAAGTGACGTCATTAAGTCACGCCCAATAAAAATAAGTGTTGCCAATTATTTCCGCTTATTCGGCTTCTCCTGACAGCGGTGCGCCCTCGCCCGCCTGAACTGAGAGAAGGTTCTGCTGAGGGCCGTCATCCTCATGGGATGCCAAAACAGGAACACGTACGTCCGCGTCCTCCTCATCGTTGTCATCTAAAGGAAGCATAAAACATTGTTCGCATTAGTCTTGTAGCCGTCGTTCGGGAGGCTGCTCTTAGGAACAGTGTCAAGAATATCTTCCAGTATCGCAGAGCCCACGGGATGCGATATCAGCAAGCAGAGCCCTCAGGGTGCTTGAAACCAGTACAGAGCCCTCAGGATATAGACAGAGAAGTACCATTAAGGATGTTCTCAATAATCGCAGAGCCCTCAGGATGCGATACCAGCAAGCAGAGCAGTCAGGATGCTTGAGAAAGTACAGAGCCCTCAGGATGTACACAGAGAAGTACCATTAAGGATGTTCTCCATAATCGCAGAGCCCTCAGGATGCGATACCAGCAAGCAGAGCCCTCAGGATGCTTGAAACAAGTACAGAGCCCTCAGGATGTACATAGAGAAGTACCATTAAGGATGTTCTCCATAATCGCAAAGCCCTCAGGATGCGATACCAGCAAGCAGAGCCCTCAGGATGCTTGAAACAAGTACATAAATATAACGGTCACATTATGCATTTCATAAATAAAGGATGTTGAGCACAAGTAGCTTACGTTCAAAGAAAGCGGTACATACGTCGGGGGTCCATTCCCCGCGGCAAAGTGTTATGTATTATGCAGCTGCTTGGGTGGTCTTCCCGTAAGAGCCAGCAACTAATTTTAACTCATATCGACCATGTGGCAACGTCTGTAGTACTCTGTATGGGCCTCGCATACCGGAATCCAACTTGCCCGTGGCTTGACTTGTCTTGCGAACAAATACCAGGTCGCCAGTTTTGAACGAGGAGCTTTGCGCCGTTCATTAGTGCGACTGTCCTGACGGGAACGGTTCGCATCGAGAGACTCCGAAGCACGTTGTCGAGCAAGCTCACGCAGCGACTCCCGGTTCGGACTGGTTGCCTCTAAAGCTACATCACGCACCAGAGCTCGTATGAGGGGTGTTTTTCCATCACCGCCAACTAACTACGTCCACCGTCTCGAGTTTGTAGTAGCACCGCGCCGTACCCTAGTGCTGACGCATCAGTATGTACCTCAGTGGGGAAGGAAGGGTCAAAAATAGCCAACACTGGCTCATTCGTCAACCTTTTAATAATGTCCTTACGAACCTTTTCTTGCTCCTCACCCCATCGAAACAGTACACCCTTGCGGGTCAAGTTTGCTATACATGACGTTTTATGTGAGTAGCCTGGGATATAGCGCCTAAAATATCCAGCCAGACCCAGAAATTGTCTGACTTCTTTAACATTGCTTGGCACCCTCGCATCGACCAGTGCTTGGACCTTCAATAGACTCGGCCTAACCTGACCATTACTGATCGTTCTACCTAGGTATTCTATTTCTGTAGTAAGAAACCTACACTTTTTCAAGTTGATAGAAAACCCCGCACTAGTCAGGGTTCCTAGAACCTCCCGTAATGTCTGTAAACCTTCAGCGATAGTATGGCTAGGTAACAGTATGTCATCGATATATACGCAGGCTTTACCAGTATCGATGAATGTACCCAATGTGGTGGATATTATGCGCTGATATACTATTGGTGCGTTGGCGAGTCCATATGGCATTTTTAAATACTCGTAGCGGCCCTCTGGAGTTACGAATCCCGTGCGATGAATTGACTCCTCATCCAACTTTATCTGATGAAATCCAGTGGCCATATCTAAACTGGTAAAGTACCTGGCTTTCCCTAAACGGTCGATGTGATCATCTATTAGCGGTAAGGGGTAGTGATCCTTTACCGTATTCGCGTTCAAGGCGCGAAAGTCAACGCAAAGCCTATCGCTACCGTCCTTTTTCTTCACGAGCAATATAGGACTCGACAAAGCTGATTCTGACTCTCTAATGATTTGTTTTTCAAGTAGATACCGAATTATCTTTCTAACGCGCAGTTTCTCATCATAAGACATTTTGTATGGTCGGTAGACTACTGGAGTTTCATTATGTAACTTAATATGCATTGTACCTGTATGCACAGTGGTAGTAGCCGTACCCACAACGAGATACTTACCAAATTCGTTAATGATACGCATTAATTGTTCCCTTTCCGCACCTGACAGCGATGTATCTATCAGCACATTTATTGGATCAGACTTGATTTGCAAAACATTGTCACGTCGCGTAAGCCGTTGTACTCCACGCGTCCGGGTGTAAGTCACACCGTCTCTATTTAATACATCTGTACCGACAATCACTGGCGTGTTCATGCATTTATCCGAAACGATGTGAAAGTCAATTTCGAGGGTAATATTTGAAAATTCTACTATTAACGTAGTACGAAACGATGTTTCTATGTCCTGACAACCTATACCTCGCAAAACTCGATATGAAGGCAATCAAAGAACGTCAACTGGCACACCCTGAATAACTGCCGTCGTAATATCGTTTTGTTTGTAAACATCAACTGATTCGCGACAGAAGTTAACGTTCGACTTACCACGCGATTCGGCGCGCTGCTTTGTAAAACAATCTTCGACTTTATGGCCAACCTTTTTGCAAAAAGAACAGAGTTCTGATTTTGGTATCTGCCTGTTCGAATTATACGCATTCCTAGAAGTTTCGGTTTTGGCACGTTTTGGGCACGTGTTCTGTTTGTGACCAAAGCCATTGCAAGAAAAACATCTAACACGGTAGTCTACGCGTTCTCGTTTGCGAGGATTGGGTTGTAAATCGTATTTCCGGAAGGTACCCCGTGTTCGCGTTGGTGTAACTTGGCTTGATTTTAAATAAATCGATAAAAAATGTACTAGGCCGTCAGGTAACAGGTTCGCATTAGTAGCCGCGGCGCGAATCTGCGGGTCGGTAATGCCCCTTATAATTACCGCTGCTATTAATTCATCACTCATTCCGTTAACAATGCGTAACCGTAATAAGGAACGCCTGGCATATTCTGCATAGGTGGGGTAGTTATCGGAGTTCGTTTTCATCACGTCAAACAAAATACTTGCAATATCGATCCGTGATGGACACAAAGTTTTAAATTCTCGTTTGAAATTTGACCAACCACGATCGTTACTAACCCATTCGTTGAGCCACAGCTTCGCGTCACCCTTAAGACAATTTCCTATACGCGCCAAACACTCGCGATCATCCCATCGATTTAAACTGCGCACGTGATCAACTTCCGTACACCACACATCGAAATCATTTAAACATGGATCAAAATTCGATATAAAAATATGATTCGACCTTACCGGTATAGCGTTAATTACACTCACAAGTTTTTCGGTAACCTCACTCATTACCATGTCGGCACTGGACTGCACCGTACCCGTGCAAGGTACGGATGCGGCGAAGCTTACGAAGCAAGACTCCGACTCCGTTGCTGGCACGACAGTGCCGTCCAGGTGCGAAGATGGCGTCATACTCGGAGGAGCCGTAACGTCGCGTGACGTACCCGCATTATTCTTATTCGAAGCACCACTCACTGAACACAAGGCAAACGATTTTGAAGTCAAACGTCGAAGTCAAACGATTTTGAATCGTTTGACTGCCTTGGAAGATTCCAAGGCAGTCAAACGATTCAAAATCGTTTGTAATTGTTGCTCCAAACCAGAGATAGGCGGCGTGTCACTACCTTTACGACCGTTATGCCTTTTGCTTTGCTACATTGTTTAATTATTCCTCTCTTTTTTTTGTTTTATTTACTACTCAACAATAATTTATTGCACACTGAATTTAAATCAAGGAAGCCGTGCTCAGAGCGGAGAGGATTCCCACTTCTGAAGTTATAAATCTATTTCGAAATACTAAAAAAGAGAATGTATGCTTGTACACAATTTAATAACACCCACTTAACAATAATCAAGTCAAGCAACAAATATTGACAATACGCAATCCCAGCACGTCCGTCTAGCTCTGGTGTCGCCGCAAGAGAGCCCTGATCGCGTTCGCACGACCCACCTCTCCAATCCTTCCCTCACTCCAAGCGGCAAGTGACGTCATTAAGCCACGCCCAATAAAAATAAGTGTTGCCAATTATTTCCGCTTATTGTACCTATTTAATATTGTTGTACCGAAAATACTTTGAAGTAATTCACATGAGTATTTTATTCCCTATAAGAAAAAAATTCAAGACAGTTTTTTAATCACTTTATTTCAATAATAAAACTTGATAAATAGAAAACTAATTCTTTCTTTTATTAAAAACAATACCTGTGCAATTTACGAATTAAAACTAAGAAAGTATTAATTAGAAATATTTCTTCGACGATTTATGCCTCTATCTCAATATTGAAAAAAAACGTAATATTCCACGATTTTACAAGATAATTTTAATAAAAAACTGC